GGGCTATTTGCTGTAGTAAAAAATCATAGAATCACCAAGGTTTCAGAACATTGTAAACACAACTAAGTGTGGATACGATGTAAAACTGTAACTCTTGCAGATTTTATTTTGATACAATGTTTATTTACATCTGAACTTGTTTTATTTCCCGACTACTCTGTTGATTGTTTGGTCCTAATGTGTGCTAGCAACACAAGCAGCACTTTCCGTTTCAAGCGCGGATTTTATAAGAACCGTTATTTGTTTCAACGCGTCCTGGTATGCGCGAAATCGTTCACATCCAAGCTGGGCAGTGCGGTAATCAGATAGGCGCTAAGGTGGTACCTTAACTTTGGAAATATGTTTCTTTCAGTTTTGGGAGGTTATTTCCGATGAACACGGAATCGATCCTACTGGAACCTACCATGGAGATTCCGATCTTCAATTGGAACGCATTAATGTATACTACAACGAAGCTACTGGGGGAAAATATGTTCCCAGAGCAATACTAGTGGATTTAGAACCGGGTACAATGGATAGTGTTAGAGCGGGTCCTTTTGGACAACTTTTCCGTCCTGATAACTTCGTTTTTGGACAGAGTGGGGCTGGCAATAATTGGGCCAAGGGGCATTACACAGAGGGTGCTGAGTTAGTTGATGCAGTCCTTGATGTTGTCCGAAAAGAGGCGGAATCTTGCGATTGTCTACAGGGATTCCAGCTGACTCATTCCCTAGGTGGCGGCACAGGCTCTGGTATGGGTACGCTCCTAATTTCCAAGGTTCGGGAGGAGTATCCGGATAGAATAATGAACACTTTCTCAGTGGTACCATCCCCAAAGGTTGGAAGTTTGTTTTGCGTATCGTATAGCTTTAGGTTTCAGACACAGTTGTGGAACCTTATAATGCCACTCTTTCTGTCCACCAACTGGTTGAAAATACGGATGAAACATACTGTATCGATAACGAAGCATTGTATGATATATGCTTCCGAACCTTAAGACTAGGAACGCCTACTTACGGAGATCTCAACCACTTGGTCAGTGCAACGATGTCAGGTGTTACCACATGCCTCCGCTTCCCGGGTCAGCTAAATGCAGATCTTCGAAAACTTGCAGTTAATATGGTGCCCTTCCCGAGACTTCACTTCTTTATGCCTGGCTTCGCTCCGCTAACCAGTCGAGGCTGTCAACAATATCGTGCCTTGACCGTACCTGAGCTGACACAACAGATGTTTGACGCCAAAAATATGATGGCAGCATGTGATCCTAGACACGGACGTTACCTGACAGTCGCAGCAATCTTCCGTGGAAGGATGTCGATGAAAGAGGTCGATGAACAGATGCTCAATGTTCAAAATAAAAATTCCAGCTACTTTGTAGAGTGGATTCCCAACAACGTTAAGACAGCTGTCTGTGACATTCCGCCTCGAGGGTTGAAAATGGCAGCAACATTTGCTGGTAACAGCACTGCAATCCAAGAACTGTTTAAACGTGTTAGTGAGCAATTCACTGCCATGTTTAGGCGGAAGGCATTCCTTCACTGGTATACTGGTGAAGGTATGGATGAAATGGAATTTACTGAGGCCGAATCGAATATGAACGATCTAATCAGCGAATATCAGCAATATCAGGATGCCTGTGCTGAGGACGAAGGTGAATTCGATGAGGAGGAAGGCGAAGAAGGTTAACATAAACCATCGTTATGTGTAGCTATTCATAACAGTATTTTCCAACGTTATTATTTTTACTTTACTGGGTTTCGCGTTTATTGTTGAGGCGATCAACCTCTGATTTATGAACACAATGAAGGCGATCAAACAACTGACTCGCGTTCTAAAATTAGTTTATAAAGTTAATGGAAGAAGCTTCCGTCCTGCAATGTTGTTAGGGCCAAATCCACCTGCACTTGGTGATGAGACTCTGGATTATGCCAACGGCTTGCTTAAATTTTGGCTTGACTACTGAGCCTTCTGGAGGTCCTATAATGGTAATCTTGCTTTGTGATGTTGCATCACGGTTTAGCACCGTAATGGTTGCATCAGGTAGCAGACCCTATCATTAAGGACGACCCATCTCCTAAAAAAGGCACTTAAGTGGCGTCAAGGTTCAGCAATCAGCATAATTTAGTGGTGTTCATAGAGAATATTTGGTGGCACCGAAATGCTTTGTGGTAAAGTTGGCCATGATGAATGTCGAAGCTCCGATGAGTGGACGCCACATCCTTCACGGCACTACCCGTTGAGAGGATCTCCAGAACATTTGATAGAGGGCTATGGAAG